TGAACAATTGGATACTTAGTTAAACATCCTTCCTAGGGCAGGAGGTGTTCCATCCCCTGGCATCTGTATCTGTCAGTTCTGGTTGTTTCAGGAAGTTCGACTACCAATCAACTGCACACCAGTCAGAGGCACCTGAATTGGGTTTAAAATGCTTTTCTTCTTTCTCAGCAGCAATCGTACGTATGTAGAGGCTCCCCACACTGCATTTTTTGCTCTTTTAAATTAATTGTCAATAAATGTAGAACTCTATTTACTCCATTTTGCTTCCTCCTTCATTTTGCCAGTTCCTGAGCCAGGATTGTATCGCAGTCAGAATTGCAAATACACAAAACCTATTAAATGATAATTAAAGCAGAGACAGAATAGATGACATAAGTGGAACAAATATATATATATATTTGGTGTATGTGACAGGCTGACTAAAGTTTGAACAGAGTTTATTTTCCCACAGAATTCACCAGTCAATGCTGAATTGTTTTGGAGCAGTGAAACAGAACAACTGTAATGTGATCAATTTAGGGATTTACTGTACTTTGACCTCCATAGACTAGTTTGGTGTTTCTTATCTTGAAACTGTTTAACAGATGTAAAAACTGGACTCATGCAGTCCTGATGATTTTATGTTTGGCAGAACATGTCATATGAAAGCACAGGTATGCTTTAAAACCATTACACAAGGGCGGCTGTGGCTCAGGTGGTTTTCCTCCAGTCGCAAGGTTGACAGTTTGATCCCCTGCCCGTCCACAGTTGAAGTGTAATTGAACCCGAAGTTGCTCCCAATGGCCCAAAGGCAGCACCTTGCATGGCAGCTCTGTCGTCATTGGTGTATGAATGTGTGTGAATAGGTGATGAGAAAACATTGCGCTTTGAGTGCCGCTAAGGTACAAAAGCGTTATATTAGTGCAGTCCATTAACCATTTACCATTACTTACTGCCTTCCATTTCGATGTGTCCGGTCCAGATGTTGTGCATCATCACCCACTTATTTGACGCACTGGGACACTTAACTGGAATATAGCCATTGTTAACACTATTAGTTGCACCTGTGCTTTTCCTGCCATAACAAGTCAAACTATCTTCTGCGGGATATTACTCAGTTTGGTGAAAATAATCGATGGAATTGCTTCTATTGTGCCTTGGTCCATATGGTGGTTAGTGAAGTCTGACCGAATGGGCTGATATTGATATTTAAATGATTCAAAAGGTTTGCGAGCTTTGAAAAATTAAATATTAGGAAAGCTTTTGGTACATTTAAAGAACTGGTAGCTAGAGTTCCCACTTTTTTGTCGCATCAATATATTGCTGATGAGCTAATAGCCGCCATATTGATTTTCTATTAATGGATGTGCCTGTTTGGATTATATTAGAAGATGTTTTCAGGACAACTTGTGTATTCTATCTGTCACTGTGAGTATGTGTGGGGGGTGTGAGGGGTGCATGAATGGGGCAGGAGGCGTAATGGATAGACTCCTCTTTGATCCTCCACATAACAAAAGCACCTACAAAGGCTTCCATACAGCCTGTCTCATTGTTCTGCTGAGGAGACTATAGCTCATAAAACCATTACCATTATCCCCACACAATACCTTTTCCAGCACCTACTTAAGACTTCAAATCACGACTGTATATGGCTATACTGCTTGCCAGTTTGAATTTTGTCACTCTGTGATCCCATGAACTTCTAAGTATACAGCCATGCCCAGATTATCTCGCTTGTGGCCCCAGGGCAGGCATTTCCTATATGGGCCCCACCTCACTGTCATGGTCACTGATCTGCTCGACGCAACTGTGCAACCCGCCCCTCTAAAACCTGCATCACCCAGAGCTAATTAAAGTATGTCAACATGCATCACAATGCAAAGTTGCAACACATGTACTGTCCATGTTTCATAAAGCAACTTGGCCTCTTGGTATGGATTTTGCACATGGTGTTAATTTTGGACTCCCAAAAACTTGTGCGCAAAAGTGGACATGAGCGCGGCCACCCCCTTGTCACCACGGTAGGTAACGGACGTAGCTCCACTGCAGCACCAGTGTACCTTTGCCTGTCTGATCCCGCCCCCTCGCTCGGGGAGAGAGCTGGTTCACGGGTTAGCGGAGCCCATCGCAGTTGGAGCAAGCCCACCCCTCTCTGCAGTATGCATGTTCGCCAGGGAATCCGCGAAGCGCTCACGTCCCAGCAGTGTACTTCACCGGCCAGAGACGATCCGCTCAAGAGTCGAGGATAATAAAAAATTGGATGTGGCAGGCGGACCGGAGGCGGAAAGCCCGGAGTGACCGCAGGAATACAGTATTACTACAGGAACACAGGCTGCCTCTCTCCTCTGAACGTGGACAATCATGCATGTGCTCTTCTGGGGCTTGGGGTTCCTACTATTCCCTGATTTCTTGAATGTGGTCGCATCTACGGGGAGATTGCTTTTGAATTCGAGCACAGGTAAAGTATGCCCCCGCTTCTTTTTTTTTTTTTTCTTCCTCCCACTCGTGGGATTATTTTCTAACAGCACAAAGGCAGAGAATGAATGAGTTTTGGATTCAGCCAGCACATGACTTGCAGCGCTTCTAGATGCCTAAAGTTCACTCACTGACTTCCATTTCCTTGCAATGTTGTAAAACAACTGTTTTGTTTGAAAGAAGAATATATCTGACTCACAACCTAAACTTCAACACATGTGGAGTCTTTGATGTGTACAAATGCAGTCGGATTGTTGTCTAATTCCTAATTGACTGCTGTTTTTTTTTTCCACAGTAAAAGAGGAGATCGGCGCTTATGAGATTGTAACACCGGTGCGAGTGAATGAAGCCGGTGACAAGTTTCCAACCAGTGTGCACTTCAAGAGGAAAAGACGAAGTTTGGAGGACGAGGGCACCGGCAACTCCACGGATCACTGGGCCTCGCCGAACATCCACTACAGGATATCTGCTTTCGGACAGAACTATCACCTCAACCTCACGCTGGATTCGGGATTTATCGCACCTCTCTACACTGTGACAATACTTGGAGTACCCCGAGGAGATAACTTAACGGATTCTGCAGCAGATGGGGAGGGAGGAGAGGAGGAGGAGGAGGAGGAGAAGAAGGAGGGAGAGGAGGAGGAGGAGGAGGACACGGAGTTAAGGCACTGCTTCTATAAAGGACATGTAAATGCACATGCAGAACACGCCGCAGTCATCAGTTTGTGCTCCGGACTGGTGAGTTTTTACGCACGGTTTGACCCGCCGTGCGTGTGATGGCTTTACAACGGGGTGTTTTACTTTTCCACCATTAGTGTTTAGGGGCCATTATTGCTTATACAAGACTTGAAAAGCTGCCTCACCATTGCCTATGAAAAAATACACACACACACACACACACACAAACAAAACTCCAAAACAATTTCAAACTTTGCGCGCAACTTGCATTTGATCGTGCAAATAACCAGCCGTATAAATAGTGCACGTTTAAATTAAATGTTCCAATCACAGATGAATGCACAATTGAACAAACCCCTGTAGATGATTCAAAAAGCTGTGTAAATATTTACTGGACGTGTTTAGGTGAAGCTGTAGCTGATTTGAAAATCCATTCATGAAAATTAACTTTGAGACTTCATGGCTGGCTCAAGAATTTATTTGGAGTAGGATCATAGGAAAGCTAGAAACTGTGCTAATTTTCGAGGATCCCAGGTCTACTGCCTCTACCCAAGCTTAATGAACATCCTACATCTTCCTTCCATGCCTCTCTCTCTCTCTGGTCTCCCGGCAGTCGGTGACGTCTTTACGCACGCTCGTAGCGCAGGAGTACGGGTGCTACTGACGTCATCGCGGATTGGTCCAACTCCCAGGGCTGCTGAAGCATGGGTTTTGGCGTTGGGGCAAAAGTGCACTCAGAGTTTACCCATAGAAACCATAGTGAGGTTAACAGATATGAGTGAGGGTTCAGTTTCTTCCCAAATGACAAATCAAATACGAAATGCTTTGAATGCTCTGCTCTGCACGGAGCTTTAGGGAGTTGAGATGACATTTATGGAGCACAGCTTATTATTTATTCAAGACCCCTGAGAGCACATTTATTCCAAAACAGCCAACACTGCCTTTTATTGCATTTTTATTTCTGTACATCCCTAAAATAATGTGACACTTGTTTTCTTGAAGAGGAGATTCTGTTTTTGCCTTGCCAACTCCTTGGGTCAATCAAAGTGCATGTCCTCGTACAGTAGGAAGAGTGTCTGAGTGTCACTTTATGTGAAAGATCAGTCCGCAGCTCTGCAAATGTTTGCACATCAATCAAAATGTAATGTTTATCTGATAATAATTTTTGTCATACTTTATTATCAGGCATTATAAATACGACTTGTGCCAAAGATAATAGTACGAAACCTACATCAGCCCCCTGAGCTGCCATGATTGTTCTCTACAGCAAATGAGCAACAGGTCAAATGTGCTTTGCTTGGCATGTGCCTTATCTGGAGCATCACAGACCTCCAAGTTAACCAGCCACGCTAAACATGCCATGTGAAATACATCTAACAAGGCTTGCAGCACTCTTGCCAAGAACCTACAGTCTCAGTGTTTTCCCGATAGACATCACAGGTCTCACTATTATCCATTTCCTTCTGTTTTGGCACAATTCTTACATGCATGCAAATTCACCTATTTCATCTATTCATGAAGGCCCATGCTTATTTTCTCTCATGATTAGTACATAAGCCAAATTCCACTGTTGTTTGCTATAAATATTTTTTAAGTCAAGTGTGTTGAGCTTTCTGCAAAAAGGTCTTTGAAATATATTCCCCTTGGCCCTCTCCATGTAGATTTTGCAAGTTCTGTGTTTGTTCATCTAGATTTCAGAATAGAAGCAGGCCTTTGCAGAAAATAGGTAGATGGAGACTAACTGCTGTGCTTTTTTTTTTTGCTCTCCAGCTTGGCACTTTCAGGTCTCCAGAGGGGGAGTATTTTGTGGAGCCCCTGCACAGCTATCAAGGAGAACACTATGAAGAGGAACACACAAAACCTCATATCGTATACAGGAAGAGTGCCCCCAAGAAACAGACATCAGGGGAGACCTCAGCTTGTGACACTTCAGGTATGTTGTCTTACATGATGATGCAATTTAGACAGACAACCCTTGCAAACATGCACACATAATGTCAACACAAACACACATAGGTGCAACCTCAAAGGTCCCATATCGTGCGCCTTTTCAGCAAATTAGCCGTCCAGTGTCCTCTTTCTAGTCAAACATCTCGCTGCTGTTTCTGAGCATGGACCTCCTAGAGGCTGTGTGAATAAAAACCAGTGTGTACGTGGCTCATGTGCATGTACGTGCTGGAGCATTTTCATGTATGTTGGGTATATGAGTTGGGAACTTGCTATATGTGTGTCTGTACGTGCATCTGACCTTTAAATCGGTTCCCACAGACGTAATCAGGTGCAATCGTTGCGTCACCACTAAAGTCTCCTCTATCAGTCGTATCAGGAAGCGATTATGCAACAGTTACTGAGCTTATTGAGCTATTATGATAATTGAACCATGGTGCTGTAGAGTCATATGTGGCTTATTTGGTTAATGCAAATAAAATTTTATGAATTTGTCCGGATATTGAGGTAGATTTTGAAGAAAAAAGTTACTCTGTGGAGTTAATTTATTTTGAGTAAAATCTGAAAAAAATCAAGACAATATAATCATTTGACATTATATTTTAACCATTCACTTGTTGTATGATACTTAAAAGTGAAATGCAGATAAAATTACACTGTGTCATTTGGATATATTCCCATGAGCAGGCTGTGAAATTATGATGTCAAAGAATCTTGGCTTGGATATCGTACCATAGTCTGCACACATGCAGAGACTTCAGCTGCAGGACAGTAATGAGGAGGCTTTCCAACTCTCACACAGGAAAAATCCTATGGACCTTTGTATCATCCCATCTCAGTTTACAGGCTGAACTTCCTGTTGACTCTTGTACTTCCTCTGCCTCTTTGATAAGGAGGTTGAGTAGACCCACTGCCATGAACACACAGTGTCGTTTGTATTATAGGAAAGTGATGCCGACGTGAAACCTCAAATAATCAAAAGTTAGAGAATAAGTCTGTAAATATTTTCTTTTTGTTCGCTGCAGATCGTTGTGCAGATTTTTGGTTTCAGTGTGTATGTGAAGTGTGTGTTGATCTTTTGATTCCGTTATACAGTAAGTGTATGTGTGTATGAGAGTGCATATGTGAAACTATACCCTGAAGGAACATAAATTTGACTAAAAGCCCTTTTTGGCAAGAGTTATTAAACCTTTCATGACATTCCATTAAATCCGTGTATCATATTTTTCCGCATTAAATGAGAATTCCAAAGTGAAATGCAAAAGTGGTTTGTCATTTCGATATTGATTTATGAATCTGACACATACAAAAAGCAACCGAGGAACGTACTTTCAATTCCGTGCTTAAGTCAAAAATAGGCAAAGAGGAAATGGTCCAGGGACCAAATTAGATTGTGATATATGTTGTGTTCGACTTGTGTGACCAGAAAGTTTCTGACTTGTTTTGCGTTTCTCTTGGTAAGCTTACAGTAAATACATGGGAGCGTTAGCGGTACATGATTTAAGGTAACAAATATGCAACAAAAGTTGGGTCTGTTTCAACAAGGTGCTTTGGAAAATGTCACTTGTGTGAACAGATCTAAACTTTATAATAAACAGAAAGCATGTTACCATGGATACAGTGAGTTAGCCTATGGGACGCAACATGAGCTTCGTTTGTTTACGCTTTTTTAAAATGAAGTTGGTGGAATGACTAATTAACGATGTTGTTTTGCTTTACACCAGTGGATGTTCTGGCAACATTAACTAAATAACTAGCGGGCAGTTCTCTCAGGCAAGTTCTGAAGCGTTCCAGCTCCTGCTTAAGTATATGCAAAATGTTAATTAAATTATGTGCTACAAATGAAACCTTGTTTTCAGTCTACATGGATCAGCACGCCACATTAGCTGGTGACGGTAAACGGTTGTAAATATGAAATCCCAATGCAAACTTCCATTCCTGATACTGATTTTGGTATTATAATTTTATCATGGTTGCGAGATACTGTGCAACAGACTAAAGTGTAGGAATTGGAACGCTTGACAACTTGCCTGACAATCGTCTGGATTTTATGATTTATTCAGCGTCAGAGTAATTCAGTGATAGCTGTCAATACATCCCTGAGCGCACCGCTAATAGAAACTGTTAATAGTTAATTCGGCAAGCTTCTTTCTCCAAAATGCAAACTAATATAAAACGGAGCACAACTTACAGCCCATAGGGCAACTCACTGTATCCATGGTAACATTTACTTGTTGTTTCTGGTAAAGTTTAAAGTGAAGAATTTACTTTGAAAAAACCCACTCATGTTTGAGCTCATATTCATTACATTAAATCAGATGTTGCCATCGTTTCTGTGTATTTGCTGTGCAGGTACATGACACCAAGAAGTCAGAAACTTCCTGATCATGCAAGGACAAACTCAAAAGTGATAAAAATTCAAATTACAAACAATACACAAAAAAACAAGCCTTTTTTTTGTATGTTGGATTCATAGATGAACAGACTAACCAGCTGTTTTGTTTGTTTTCTGATTTTGGATTCTCAGAGTGAATGACATGTTCATTCAGTTGCTGCCTTGTAGATTTTCAAGTCCAACAAACTGTTGTTTTTGAGCAGGTCATAAATCATGTATTCTTCAAGCAGATCTGCCAGAATGCCCAGCTCCCTGTTACATATGTCGGTGACACACTGCTAGTGTTCAAGAAAGGGTGATATGCTGAAAAAAAAACTGTTGTGCTGCCATGATTAAAATCAGACTAAAATGTCCTCAGTGTTCTGACGTTGTTCTGCCCAGTTGTTGAACTGCCCTCATTTGATGTGTGCACAGTAATTTGTGTACCATTTTTCTGTGGCTGGCCGCCAGGTTTACCTAGTATGAACTCTTTGGCCTCTTCTCCTCCCTCTTCTGAAAGTGGAGGCAGAGAGAAAAAAAGGCACTCCAGGCAGTGTTCATTTGTCAACACACTCTATGAGCAACAATAAACAGAAAGGAGAGGGAGGCAGCAACAAATTTTAACAATACCCCACATTCAGACCACCAGCTCACCTCATGTATCTGCCTAAACCACGACTTTACCTTAATAGTAAACACATCCTCCTGACTAACAGTGATTTATACCTGTTTCGTTTGGGTGAATGTGCTTCCCATCAAGCTTGAATCTTTGTATATTTACTCCATCTTTTTTTCTGGCTTCTCACTTTAGGACACAAACACAGACATAAGAGACACAAGCTGAAGAGGAGACCAGCGTCTGGGGTGACCACCGTGTCCGATGCAGCCCCTGTGGTCAGCGCCGGTATCTTCAGTGACGTGGAGTCACTGAGCGCCGGTCTGGCCAACAACGCTCTGCTCAGATCAGAGCGCAGCAGTGCTAGCACTAGACCGTCAAATGATAGCAGCGGTGACTCAGGACCTCACAGGAGATCAAAGCGCTTCCTCTCCTACCCGCGCTTTGTTGAAGTCATGCTGGTGGCCGACAGCAAAATGGTGGAGCATCACGGCAGCAACCTACAGCACTACATACTCACTCTCATGTCCATAGTAAGTTCTGCTCTGCACGTTTTGGTCGGAGGAGACGGCTGGCTGGGAAATGCAAGTGTCCGTATGCATCTGTACTCGTGCACACATGAAGTAGCTGTTTGTGCTGCGAGTCAGTCAGCCGGCCGTTGGAGGACGGCTGTGGGAGGGAAAAGGGCAGCCGAGGGCAGGGGTAAACACCGCTTTCAAACGGCCAGGGGGAAGAGAGGGCAGCTCGAGGGACAGCCTGTCTGACAGCTTTGATGAATGTTAAAAAATAAGCTCAGGTATGTCACATAGACCGCATACTCTCGGCCACTTCAAATACCAGCTTCCGCAGGCATCTGGGGCCGACAGTCCTCAGGGGGAGCCTAAGATGACCTATATTCTGTTCTTGGCAAAGGCTGCCTTCTCCACAGGAGCTCGGGCTATTATCAACTTGATCCTCCAATCAACCAAATTCCCCGGCACTTGCTTGAAACTTTAGGAAGGGAGTAGATGATAGTTACGAGTAAATGTACTGCATTACATTTAAGCTGGCTCAAGTTCATGAAAACATTCACTTTGATTAAGATACTGAAACTAGTCTTATCTTCAAATGTTTTCCTCCAGAGGTTTGAAGTCATGTTGTGTTCCTTTTCGTTCAGGTGTCTTCCATCTACAAGGACCCCAGCATTGGCAACCTGATAAACATTGTGATTGTAAAGTTAGTCATAATTAACAATGAGCCGGTAAGTCTCGTAATTAGTCTCTAGAACTACTTACACACGAGAATGTTGTTTAAGCTCGTCAGTGAAATGACACCTTTTGTTTCTTTGCATCTCAGGACGGTCCAGTCATTTCATTTAATGCACAGACCACTTTAAAGAACTTCTGCATCTGGCAGCAAAGTCAGAACATCTTGGATGACAACCACCACTCTCATCACGACACCGCCATCCTCATCACCAGGTGCAAGAAAAATGATCACGTTTTTTTTTTTTTTTTGCTGCATGCAGTGTATACTTTGAAATATCCAAGTATCGCGTGAACCAGATACAACTGTAGTAAGTGTATAAAGAGAGAGATTGATCAAAGGCTCAAATGTGATCCAGATGAGAACCTAAAAAAGGAAAATCCCTGTGATTTTCTCTTGTACAATGCCACCGACTGTGATTCATTATCGTTGTCTTCACCACAGGCAGGACATCTGCAGAGCGAGGGATAAGTGTGACACTTTAGGTAAGTGTTTGTTTCATGTTTGTTTTAATAGGAAAGAAAGCATGGTGGTGTTTATTAGGAAAACTGAAGCGAGTCTCTTGTTGTTCAGGACTTGCAGAGTTGGGGACAGTGTGTGATCCATATAGGAGCTGCAGCATCAGTGAGGACAATGGACTCAGCACTGCGTTCACCATCGCCCACGAACTTGGCCATGTGTAAGCAAAGCAAACCTCCGCTGGTTCTTAACCTCAAGTGCTGACATCAGTCCTACTTAATGAAAGTTTAGGCTTTAGTTGGTAGAGTCTTTCTAGGAATCCACACATGCTTTCTAGCAGATGGGAACCAATAAATATTACACATTCGGATAACATAACGCCCACATTTTCATTTTATGATGCTTTTGTTTATATTCTGGAAAGGAGTCTGTAAACTAGATTCTCAGAAGTGAAGTAGAACCGCTGCTTGGTCACTCTTGCCCTCCAGCAAACTCTGTACTGTCCAAAGTCCTGAGTCAGCCAGAGCTTGTGGTGTTAGCCCTGTACAGTGGAGACTGTTACGGACCTAAACAGCCCTCATCGTGTCTAACAAATGCTCTTTCTTACTATTAAACAAAAGGTGGGATTATTGAATTCCATGTTTATCCGCATCAAGCGGTGACAACATGCTGGATGACTGCTTAGCGGCAGAGCTCAGTGTTGTATGGTACCTGTCAGGTGGGGTGCTTAGCAGCAGGCAGTGTGGTGCTGTGCCTGTCCACCATCAACCACGATTGTATTTGTTCACCCTGCAAGAGCTTGAATGCCTCCCTTATTCCCACTGCACTCTGATTTTCACATTGAAAATTTCCTCTGTGTCTATGGTCCAGTTTTCATATAATTTAATATCATGCTGGTTTCTTTCCAAACTCCCCACAGGCAGACAATACAAATGCTCTGCATTATTTTCAACGGCAACCTTGAAGGAGTTTCCCGAAGCCAATAACACAGTGACAGTGGAAATATAGAATCAATGTTTAGATTTAAAACATGTGGCTGAAGAAATGAAGCACACTGAAACTCAACAACTACTGTTTCTTTGTGGGTTTGTGAAGCAGAAACATTTGAACAGTCCCAGACAGGAATAATACAGACATTCGTCACTATGAAACTAGCTTATCTTAGTGCTGTGACAGAACTCTGCCACTTTATTAGAAAATGGGAGGAAAAAATATTTCAACTCTCCACACTTCACTTGGTAATGTAATATTTTGTAATACTTCAATGTGTTTTTTTGTTTGTTTTGTTTTCTCTCGGCTAGGTTCAACATGCCTCATGATGACAGTAACAAGTGTAAGGAGGATGGAGTTAAGATCCAGCAGCATGTGATGGCTCCCACACTAAACTACAACACAAACCCTTGGATGTGGTCCAAGTGTAGCAGGAAGTACATCACAGAGTTCCTTGAGTATGTCATACTACTTTCTTCATTATTGTTCCAAACATGCATGAGGATTAGATCTTATAGAAAGTAGTGAAAAGTATCTTTAAAACTTTGCCCAAATATTGTTTTAAAATTGAAATTGAAACTTGTACATTTCAGAAGTATGCTTCCATAAACACACAGACACAGTGCAGACTTTATGCTTCATATACTGCACGAAGGTTTTCCGCTCAGCCACATTTTTATGGAATAATAGGAAAATAAACTGTAATTTCTCAGGGCTGTTGCAGCCTCTAGTCTGTTCTCTTCCCAAAGGCTCCTCAACCCACTGAGAAAGACCACACAACCCCCACTGTAGGAAAGAGTAAATGGGATAAAATCTCCCTGCATCCCTGAGATCCTGAGATCACCACTTACTACATATAGCTGGTTGATTACAAGCAGAAATCTGTCAAGATGTATATGTACAGAAAAAAGAAATCACCACTCCGGCTGTACTGAGTGTGTTTTCTGTCTGTTTGTGTCTCTTGTTTTTTCTCTTTTTTTCTTTAAGTCATTTTATTTTTATTTCTTAATAGCACAGGATATGGTGAGTGCTTGCTCGACGAGCCCGTTTCTAGGCCGTACGGTCTCTCGCAGCAGCTGCCTGGACGGATATACAATGTCAATAAACAGTGTGAATTGATATTTGGGCCGGGGACGCAGGTGTGCCCTTATATGGTGAGTGGAGTCGGCGTGCAGATCTGAACTGTCATGTTGTACAAGTTGAGGGAAGCCTTTTGAGCTATGCTCAAGTCCTGCAGAGGATCTCAACTGAAGCATTAAAAGTCGCTTGCAAAAACAACTTAAGACATGAAATCTGTCTACGGATAATGACTACTTAAAACATGAATCAGAGGAAGGATAGACTCACGTCAAAGCAAGCCATTATATTTTTTATCTTGTTGACCTTTTCAAACTAATACTGCAGAAATGTCTCCAAAATATGTTTTTCTTGGCTCGCGTTTTGTGCCAAGACTGAAAGGTCGCGCTAACCACTCAGTGAGAAACACCTGGTAAATGAGATGGCTGATGCAGCAGATTTTAGTGTATGGAGTCACCTTCTGGCACATTGTTTTATTGGCTGTCTGCCAACTGGAGTCCATATATTAACAGACTTGTCTACGGTGAGGTTATTAAACATGACACTTAATGTATGTGGGTGTGTGTGTTTGTTAGACTCAGTGTCGGAGGCTGTGGTGCACAAGTCCAGAGGGCGCCCAGCGAGGCTGCAGGACCCAGCACATGCCTTGGGCAGACGGCACCGACTGTTCCCCCGGAAAGGTACGTGTCATGTAGAATGAAGACGGATGCCTAAAGAGCTGCAGGTGCTCTTTATGAGAGCATAAGGGTGTTAAAATTAAAAAAAAAAGAAGAAGAAAGAAAAAGCAAAAGGCATTTTATTCATCATAAAAATACCAGGAGCAGAAAGTGAAGAGACTGATTTTAATTAGTGCAAAAAAAAGCTTGTGACGGATGTGTCAGCGGAAAAACCTTACTAAGTGTTTTATCTCTCCATGAGAATACCACATTTTTGCCCTTTACATTACATTATGGTTTGATACTCATATGGTTCTGTGTTATGATCTAAGAACCCCCTCGCCACATTTCCTTTCATTGTTTTGATTTTACTACTTTTCCAGTGACTCATGACCATAAAATTGTTCACAGGCCTTATAATATGGAGTGCAACATGACCAAAGGAAACGTGTTTCCAAACATTTGCCTAAAATCAATTCGCTGTCGACACATGTGCAAACTCTGTTAACTGAACGTGGCTGGCTTGTAAGTAGGTGACGCGAAGCTGTGAGTGATGCTTGCTCTCTAGACGACTGTCTTAGCGTAGCTTTTAATTAGGACTTTCTCACTAACCCCTTTGCTTCCTGCCACTAAGACGGAGAAGACATGAAAGAAACATGTCGGCCGAGCTCCAGAAGTCCCAAGATGCACAAGATAGACACACATGTTGGATTCTTTTTTTTTTTTGTGTTTACTGTACACCAGCCTCTGATCCCATGTCATGCCACAGTGCACCACACCAAACACTTGATGAGGTCTGTTTGTTGAGCACTGTAAGATTATCCTCTTGTTCTGAGCTGAGATATATTTATTGACTGCATGCGTGACATTTTCTTGTCTTCTTTCCAGCCGGACACAGTCATGAAATGTCTATTTCAGTCTTTTTTCCATTTGCTACTCTGTCTAATTTCTCCCAGATTAGCATCAAAGCACAGGAGAGCAGATAGATGTGCTGCCAGTTCTGTGGATGTGATTTTTTTTTATTTTCACACAATCTGTTCCTTTGCTTAATTTATTTATTCATTTTTTGGATGTTTCACTCTTTTATTTTCTTTTGTCCCTTACCTCAATTTGTCACTTCTCACCTACTTGTGCTCTTTTCATTTATCTATCCTCCCCATTGTTTTTTTTTTCCTTTTGTCTCCCCTTCGCAGCACTGCAAACATGGCCTGTGTATAGCCAAAGAGCACGATGCCACACCTGTGGAGGGAGCGTGGGGAGTTTGGAGTCCTTTCGGTACCTGTTCGAGGACATGCGGCGGAGGCATAAAGATTGCCATGCGCGAATGCAACCGACCCGTGTGAGCAGTCCGCCTCTTTGTAGTCATGCATGCCTAGTGGACCTTGTCTCCATCTTAGCTGCCAGAGTCAATGTTCCATAGATCAAACCTCCTTGAGGGAATTCTTTCCATAGCTCGTGTTCATCAAAACAGGCTCTCTGATGGCAGATCTTACAGGGCTGTTTCCTGCTAAACACAGAGACCACTCAGTCTCCTTGAATGTTGCCTTTCATCCTGCGCTAATGGACAGATAGAAAAGAATGGAGCACGATGTAGAATCGAGATTGAAAATAATGCCAGTGACATACTTCAGGTATATGATGACGGGTATCAAGCTGAACAAAAGAAGATAGATGAATGTTAGAAGCACACAGATGCAAACTGAAGCTCCCATTTAAAATATTAACAAAATTAGTGTGATAATTGTCGACTTACGTCCGTGTTTTTGCTCTCAGACCCAGGAATGGAGGAATGTATTGTGTTGGTCGCCGAATGAAGTTTCGTTCCTGTAACTCTGAGCCTTGCTCCAAGCAGAAGAAAGACTTCAGGGAGGAGCAATGTGCTGCTTTTGATGGCAGGCACTTCAACATCAACGGTCTACCTCCGAATGTTCGCTGGGTGCCCAAGTACAGCGGAAGTAAGATTTCTGTTTTTGCTTTACTGGCACAGTGGTTACTCCTTCGGTGTGCCTCTTTTTTCTGCTAATGAATAACAGACTTATTGTGCTGATTTCAATCTGTATAAAGCATTTTGCATTTTTTTCCTCCTCTGTCAGTTCTGATGAAGGACAGGTGTAAGCTGTTCTGCAGGGTAGCAGGCAGCACAGCCTACTATCAGCTCAGGGACAGGGTCATCGATGGCACGCCATGCGGACCCGACACCAACGACATCTGTGTCCAGGGCCTGTGTAGGGTGAGTTTCCTAACATTTTAGAGCACTCAGCTGCATGGTTCATATTCACCAGCTAATTTGTCATCATGACTGTGGTCACAGTGTATACGACAGTGTATGGATGTAATTATTTCTACGTACTTACAGTAAATATTTTCAAAATGTATATTAATCCTGACTGTTTATTGTCTCAAACATTTGACAGATAGATTTTTTTTTGTTCAAATGCTTGAGTACGAACACACCCTGCACATTAATTTGCTTCTTGAAAGAAGCAGTGGGTTGATCTGTCTACACTCTGAAACACACACAGAGTTTTTGGTTAATTTGTGGTTCAGTAAGTTGCCCTTCTGGCCCTGGCAAGTGGATTTTGATCCTCGTGGTTGCACTGAAGTCCTTGATGGAAAATCAAAGATCTGTCTAACTCGAACAAATTACATGCAGAGTGGTTCGTACCATTTTGAGTGTTTGTTTTCTAAATGGAAATTTATTTCAAAGCGATGTCAGTGATTTGGCTATAACTCAGCAAATTCATATGTTTCAAGGGTCACTGGGTTCTTTGTTTTGTGATTTGTATTTCATTCAGGAAGAAACAAGTAGTGGCTACTTTTGTGACATTTTAATACTGCAGCTGTGAGCATTCGCTAACCAATTAGAAATAAGTTAAAAGAAATCTTTTAATTTAGTTTTAAAACACACCAGTGAATTGTTCTGTTATCTGCACATTCTTTAATTCATTCTCACTTTTATCCCCTGTGACTTCTCTTCTACTTTCTTTTTTTTTGTTGCCCCTTCTCCATTACTGTCATTTATAATGTTCCCTTTTCATTATTCTTATTGTGTATTTTATCTGTCCCTCTCAACCACCTCTCTACCGGGCAGCAAGCGGGCTGTGATCATGTATTGAACTCGAAAGCCAGGAGGGACAAGTGTGGTGTGTGTGGAGGCGATAACTCTTCCTGCAAAACCATTGCAGGCACCTTTAACATCGTGCGCTACGGTGAGCTACAGCCTCTTTTTAGTATCCCATCACTCTCCATTCAGTACGTATAAAGTACGACAGCTGCTCAGGCACTTGTTTTATTGCTTCAACATATTTGTGCCTGTGTTGACTTGACTAAAAGAAACAGCACTGAGAGAATGGCTCCCTTGTTAGCGTAGGTGCACTAATGATCTAAACACACTTGACTGCTGTTTTCAGGCTATAATGAAGTAGTGCGAATACCCAGCGGTGCTACAAACATAGATGTGCGTCAACATAGCTACTCAGGGAAACCGGAGGATGACAACTACCTCGGTAAGACACCCAAAATTGCCCATATGTTTATTGCTTTTTCATGTTTTCATTCACACTGTTTAGGCCATTTCTGAAGCAATGTTCTGTTTTGAAGGCATCATGTTTGACTTGCATGTTTCGTCTCTGCCTGTCTCTTTATGTTAAAGCCCAGCTTTTAGTGTAAAGCAATGCTCTGCAAACCTAAAGCGTTGGCATATAGTGTGCATGCTAATCCGTTAATGAGCCAGAACTAGGCCTGTGGGTACCATTCCAGCAAGGTCAGTTAGTTTATAAGCTGTTGTGTCTCTTGTGCGTCTTGATATGGCATGTGCATATACCTGTGCTAATACTCAGCCCTCTGGGTACCATTCATTCAAGGTCGACGCAAATGTATGTGCGAGTAGTGCGTCCGTGTTTGCAAAGTGCTGCTGTTACTGCTTCAATCGAGTGTTTGTCTGTCTGCATGGTTGCAGATATTCTATCACGCAAACATCTGAATGTGGTTTTGCATTTGTCACCCTTTACTGTGTGAAGGGGTTTTGTATATATTTGTGTATTAGGACAGTGATTTGGGGCCAATAGTGGGGACGATTTTTTTTATTTTTTTTTTTGAATGAATGCCACTCTCCACAGTCGTATTAGTGTAATGTGTGAAATGGCGGGGAAAGTAAAGGCAGGAAATTAGCTCCATAATCGCATTAGGGTGAATGAGTGCAGAAGACTGGCTGTTGAACAGAACAGGACGCCCCTGGATGGGACTTCTTCAAGAACAGAGGATTATTTTAGCCCAATAAGGCTTTTCTGCTGCCTACTGCGCGTACAGTACTGTAAATTATTATGTTAGCCACCGAGGTCCTAAGCTACTCTGTTGCATGCAATAAGAAGTTATTGGTTTCTTATGTTCGCTCATTACTGTCATAAACGCAGTCATTTCCACATTTAGTCAGTTGTTTTCTGCCAATTGAGCAAAGACACATGGATTTTACATCAAATGCAACTTATTCTAGCCTTTTGTTTCAGTGGGGATGAAGCGCAGTAACTGTTTCTGTCTCCCTTCAGCCATATCAAATAGCCGTGGAGAGTTCCTGCTTAATGGAGAGTTTGTGGTCAGCATGTTCAAAAGGGAAATCAAAGTAGGAAATGCCATCATTGAGTACAGTGGCTCTGACCATGTCATCGAGAGGATCAACTGTACTGACCGCATCGAAGAGGAGATCATTGTCCAGGTAAACCGTCCTTATCATGACAGCTCAGTATCCCACATAGCAGACACAAAGATGGAATAATATAACTTAAAAGATAACTGTAGGAACCGAAATTCTTCTTCAGGCTTGATCTCCAGAAGTTCATACATTTCTTTTGGATGATGTGGATAATGTATGATATTCGAAAGCCATTATCTCACTGTATCGTAATGTATATCACATTGCCTCTCTCCAGGTGCTGTCTGTGGGGAACCTCTACAACCCAGATGTCAGGTACTCCTTCAACATCCCCATAGAGGATAAGCCTCAGCAGTTCTTCTGGGATGCCTATGGGAACTGGCAGGAGTGCAGCCGCCTGTGCCAAGGTGAGGGGGAGGCACATGTGGCTGGCAGGATGAGGTGATGGGAAAGGTCCATGATAAACGGTGCGGTGAGCGTGAAGATGAGCTGGAATGATAAAGGAGACGTGGGAACCTCTGAGCCAGGGACATGCTAGAGAGAGGGTTGTCTGGCTAAACTTAACAGTTTCATGCGAGACATACGGTGCAGCTTTTGAACAAGTGGATAAAGTTCAACTCTATAGTATGCCGTAGCAGATTACCCTCTTTGGCACAAGTGTGGATATATTGCAGTGTGTGGGTGTGCAGAGGCGGGTTGCAGGTAAACTCGAAAAACCTGCCATGTGTTCAGTCTCACTTTGTTCTGTTTAGGAATCTCTTTCTCCACTTTTTAACACCGCTCTGCTTGAACAACCAACAGTGTATTCCAAAGAGAAACCAAGAAGTTCACAGCTCACAGCAGGATAAACAGCTAACATGTAATGCCCTCAGCAGGGACACACTAAACTCTCATAGCACTGAGCTGCAGAACTTCATCGAGAATCTATTATCTGGAGCCCCATGAGGTGTAAATTGCTGTCGTCTACTGTACAGAAGCGCACTGTGATTGAACGTAAGGGCTAAGGTGAAGCGCATCAGTGCTGGTATTTATTGCAATCCTGGTATTGTTCTATATTGCATTTGAGCAAGATGTTGCGTTGACTCGAATAACTGCCGATAGGATCTTATAGAAGCTGAGGGCAGACAGTAGAAGGTCAATTTCAGTCGAACAGGAAGTTCTAAAACCTTTGATTGCAACTGAAGCTATGAATTTCTGCACATTTGTAAATTATTTATTACCAAACAACACGCAAAGTGGGCAAAAACAGTGTTTAAAGGCTTGTTGATCCTACCATAGTTTTTACTTACTTTGGGATCATTTTGCTTTGTGACATAAAGTCCTGTAGGTCTATGGAAACAGCAAAACCATGGCTGAAGCAGGTAAAACTCAAAAATGTCTTGTGCAGTATAACATAGCTATAATGTCATAAATTGTTCAAAATGAGAAAGTAAAGTATAATTCAGTTGATTATTTATTTCACAAAAAATGAAAAAAACCTGAAATCAACATGTGCAGCATTTTTCTATGTAGCAATACTGGGAAAATGGTGACTCTAAATACTATGCAGTAATATATTATATACTACTTACAGTCTAAATTTGTTCCCATACTTGTCTCCTGTCTGCTCTGTGTAAACACAGCCTGCAGTTCAGCTGGAAAGTCCCCAAATTATTGTCACATGACTGTTGGTCGCAGTGGAGTCACTCATTGCTTCATGGTTGTGCTGAGGAGTGTAGAATTTTTAGTTTTTTACAGAATCTGATATATATATACGTTGAGTTGATACCAACGTTCCTTGATATCTTTGCACCCTTAACAGAGAAGGAAACAAAAGTTCTGTGCAATTTTTAGCTTGTGTTTGATTATAATACACTATGTTCTATTGTGCTTAAGAATTTCAAGAGCTGTTCAAACCTGCATTCTGTGTCCTGACAGGGGAGCGCAAGCGGAAGATTCTCTGCAGCAGAGAGTCGGACAGGGTGGTGGTGTCGGACCAGAGGTGTCACGGTACTGCTAGACCTGCTGTCGTCACTGAGCCCTGCAATACTGAATGTGAACTGAGGTTTGTATTAGCAATTTAACCAACCTGTATGAACCAATCAGCAAGTCTGTCTTCATTTGGTCATACAAACATACTGAGAAGGATTCCCCCCGTCTCTCTCTTTACACAGATGGCACGTTGCTCGTAAAAGTGAGTGTACAGCCCAGTGTGGCCTTGGATATCGTACCCTGGAAATATACTGCGCCAAAATCAGCCGTGCAGACGGCAAGACCCAGAAGGTTGATGACCGCTACTGTAGTGGTCAGCGCAAACCTGATGACAAGGAGGGTTGCCATGGAGACTGTAACCCGGGTGGGTGGGAGTACTCGTCCTGGTCAGAGGTACGATTGTTGCAGGAAGCATGGGGTTTGTGTGAGAGCATGGACCAGATGTTTTAAAGTTTATCTTGGGATTGTGTACGTGTGTTTACGGTTGCTGATGCTCAAATGTGTTTACTGCAGTGCTCCAAGAGCTGTGGTGGCGGCACCCGCCGTCGAGGGGCAGTGTGTCGAAAGGCAGCTGAGGCTGGCGGGGATGAGAGCAAATGCAGTCAAAGGGACAAGCTGACCGTCCAACCCTGCAATGAATTCCTCTGTCCACAGTGGAAGACTGGCGACTGGTCTGAGGTCAGTTCAGCTCTTATTATTTTTGCCCTTAGAGGAAGCGCAGACTTATATTTACCATCCAGCTGATGTGGGTGTAATGGAAGTGGATGGATTTTGAAGACAATAACACATACACTGAGTGTTTACATTAAAATATTTCTCCTTTAATTTCTAGTAAGTTATGATATATAGAAAAAATCATTTAAGAAGACTGAGGATTTTGTCATTTGTCAGTTTCTGGACAGGCATACAGTTTACAAAAGGCTTGTGCATGAACACAGACCAACAACATCATTAAAAACACCTGCTTAATATTGTGAAAGTGCCTCTCGTGACACTAATACATCTGTGACCCATCAAGACATTGACTCCACAAGACCTCTGAAGGTGTGTTGTGGTCTCAGGCAACAAGATGTTAGCAGCAAATCGCTTAAGCTGCAAAGCGGAGCATTCATGAATCAGACTTGTTTTTCTGGCACGTCCCATATATGCTCCAATGGATTGAGATCTGGAGAATTTGAAGGCAGAGTCAACACCTTGAACTCTTTGTCATGTTCTTTATGCCATTCTGGGAACATTATCCTGCTGGAAGATGAAACCGCTGTCAGGGAAGATAGTTGCAATGAGGTGGTGAAGGTAGCTGTCAAAGTATCGTCCACATGAATGCCAGGAGTCAAGGTTTCCCAGCAGAACATTGCTCAGAGCATCACGCTGCCTCCGCTCGCTTGCCGTCTTCCTACAATGCATCTTTTCCCCATGTAAACAATACATACCCGCTCTGCCATCCACGTGATGTAAAAGAAAATGTGATCCGTCAGCAGAGGCCACCCACTTCCTTTGCTGCATGGTCCAGGTTTGAAGATCACACTGTAAACCCTTTTGGTTATGGACAGGGGTCAGTGTGGGCACTCTGCCTGGTCTGTGGCTCCACAGCAAGCTGTGAAGCACGGTGGCTTCTCACACTTTACTATAATAGCCAGCTTTTGTGCTATATTACTTCTTTGGTGAGATCACCCAGCCTTTGCTCCCCATGCACACCAAAGATTGTCCATGGCTCTGCTGTCGGTGCACTGATTAGTCCTCCTTGGAGCACTTTTGATAGCTACTAGCCACTCCATACTGGGAACACCCCTCAAGACCTTCAATTCTTGAGCTCTGATCCAATCACCTAGCCATCACAATCTGCTTATTTTTCCTGCTTCCAACTCATCAGCTGCAAGAACTGACTGTTCACTTGCTGCCTAATATATCCCATCACTTGACAGGTACCATTGTTACAAGATAATCGAGGTTATTTACATCACCTGTCAGGGGTTTTAATGTTGTGGCTGATTGGTGTATATTTATCTGTCAGCAAGATGTTCTGGTGGTTAATGTAACTTGGCTTGCTCAATGTAAAGTAATACAGACTCTTGTGTAAATACTGTAGGTTTAAGGAGCAGTGACCTGGGCCAAATATAAAATCCCTGTGTTGACTGTGCATGTCTCAGCTTTAGTAGAGTTACCCCCCCCCCCCTTCTACAAATGCGTGTTGGGAAAGTGGTGATTGCAGGGTAACATCGTGTTTAACTGCTGCACAGTTTACACATCGTAGAGCAAGGAGAGCTGTGGGCTGCATTCCAGGAATTTTTCAGATCTCCCATGTGGTGCTGCCAAAACACTTACACTGTACTATATACATATGGACTGTACTCTCATATAAATAAACACATTTGCCATGTTTTTGGGACCCATACCACCTTGATTTGCATTGAAATCAGCATATCCTGCTTTACACAAAGAGAGCTATCCCTGTCATGAACTTGAATCCTACAGGCTTAATGCTGGCAGCAACCAGTGTCATATGACATATGCATAGCTATAAAACGTGAAATGCTTCTTTTTCAGTGCCTTGTGACTTGCGGCAAAGGCTACAAGCACCGTCAGACATGGTGTCAGTTTGGTGAAGATCGTCTAGATGATCGCTTTTGTGGCTCATCTAAACCTGAGTCAGTGCAGACGTGCCAGCAGCAGGAGTGTGCCTCTTGGCAGGTCGGGCCGTGGGGACAGGTGAGTTATACCTGAATGTAGATTGTGTTTTTAAGACAGCGGACAACACTGTTTCCTGTGTTCAAGGTTGGCAAAAATGTTATCGTTTGTCAGGTAGGAGGATGCAGTTCTATAGCTAATCGGTCAAATCATATTCCAGAGCAGGTGAAACAGCAGACTGGGGCTGACCAAAAACATTTAAATCCCCATCATGATCAATTATCACATTCACCTGAATCGCAATTAACTTTGGCAGTTATTATTTTCTTAAGCTTTCAGTCATTAGAATAGTTTGCGTTTGCACTTTAAATATTATTGTTATGGTTCTGTTAAAATCAAAATCTATATTTTATAGTTCTTATCCCTGCTAAAAAAACAAAACTTAAGATTGTCTCACATCTCGTGTTCTAGTTCAGGAGATCAAACAATAAGTAGTATTAGCATATGGAGTAACAACATCTAACACCTGTGTGATGGACTGCTGTGTCTCAGATGTCCCCAGGTGAGGTATGTGCTGTTCTGTATAGCGTGGTTACTGAAGCCAAAGTGTGCCCGCACCACTGAGACGGCTTCTTTCTTCTGTACCTTTCTCGCCTGCACCCGCAGACGCTTCTGTTTCTTCAACACTTACCTGATTTATGTTCTATCTATTAAGGCTGCGAGCGGCTCGTAGAGAGCTTGCCAGCCGCCTCTGTGTGACTGTGTGTCTGATTCATTCTTGAAGTTATATCAAACATATCAATATAGTTAGAAGGGTATAATGTGAACTGATTAATTACAAAGCCCTACAGCAGATCAGTCCACAAAATGTTTTTATCAATTCATTTAAGAAGGTACACTGGATATCTTCCCCACAACACAGAAATCTAGCAAGTAGATGGGAAGCAGCGCAGCGTTTTTTTTTTTCTCTCTGATGAATTCTCGCCAGATATAAAGCAAGGGGAGGACACAGATAAGCTCATCATTTAGTACTGATTCTTCTTCTCTCCTGCATAGAGACAGAGCACATCTTGCAAAAAAAAAAGAATATACAAAGGCTATGGATAGCAGTGCTCCTCTCTAAAGCTTTATATGGTATTATACGTACAGTACAAAGTGATTGTGAGCATGCTCTGTCTGTATTTGCGTATGTGCACAGAGAGGTGAACACCCAAAAATGTGAGATATTTTTGCCCCCCCCCCCCTTCATCAGAGGATGTGCGCACGTTAAGGTATATTTGAAGTAGTTTAATGAAGCGTGGTCGAATGGTAGCTGAAGTTGCCGCCACACAAGTTTGACCCCATTTCATTGAAGGCAGTGAGCCAGAAGAAAGTGCGGGGTAGTACCCTTTGGCTTAGCTGCAGTGGAAAAACAACCAGTGCAATGTATATGAGTTACGGCATATATTTGATCTTTGGGACTCTTATCTTGTAAAAAGCCTCCATTTCCTCATGATGGTTTACATTTTTTTTTATATTTGTTTGTGTGTGTGGGTTTCCTTTGTTGGTTTAAAAGAATCATCTGTTTGTTTCTTGCCTTGCTTGTCTTTTTCTCAACTTTCTCTCTTTGGCTCACTGTTGCTAATGTTTCTCCACCACTCCCACCTTTTTTTCTCTCTCTCTCTCTCTCTCTCTGTTTGAACCCAGTGCACTACCTCTTGTGGGCCAGGCTACCAGATGCGAGCTGTGAAGTGTGTGGTTGGCTCTTACGGTGCTGTCATGGATGACACTGAATGTAATGCTGCAACCCGACCCACTGACACCCAGGTAAGGAGGTGTTCTATTCCTCCCTTTCTCGCTCACAACGTCTTTATCTCCTCCTCGCTGAGAGAGCAACTGTTGCTCCGTGCTTGAGTGTGAAGAAACACGCAAAGCGTCCACGTTCATGCACGCCGACACTTAGAACAGACACAGATAAACACACATTTCATTTCCACCTGGTCTCAATAAAGCTCTCTGATCTGATCCGGTGAGGGAAAGACAGAGGGGGGAGTTATGCTGGCCTCACCGTTCTAACATAGAGACACATAACTTATCAGACAGGATCGCTCAGAGGCCATATGTTCTCTTTATGTTATTTTTCGAAATATTCTTACCTTCATTGTGTAGCAGACGCTTGAAGTGTGGCAGAAGTCATGTTTGTCTTAAACCAAGGGCACACCTGTGGAACACTGTTTTCACAAATTCTAGTGTCTGACAGTCAGTTCAGACCGTACGACTTTATGATTTAATAAAAACACAAGACAACACACTGAACAACTACACTGTAACAAAAGGAAGCTCCAGTGGTAGACCCACCAGCAAATCCAGCGAAAACAACTGCTGTCTTGTACCAAAACAAACACAGATGGCAACTAACATCAGACATATTATACAAAAAAAAATTAAGGTTAGTCTTTTCTACTGACTCACTGTATGATTTTATATGTTGGCGTTCTAATGCCGCTCACCCAGACTGGATCAGAATGAATTCAAATTGGTCTAATCAGTTTACACACACAAATTATAGATATAATTGACTCGGCAACTATTTTGAGCACCGCTGCCTTCATACAGAGCTGACAGGGACGTAAATGAATCCCAACAGAGTTTAACACAGAGCTGCAGCCCTAAATAACAAATGTAATCAAAACTAATCAAATAGTATCACAGATATAGCCATATAAATAAAATCAATGATGTCAGTTTGGTATATTGCGTGCATGTCTCTGTTTATTTCTATTTAAACACAGCAATATGCAATCAGAGACGACCTCCTATATAGGCTTAATGAATTTGAATAGCAGTTGTGTGTTTTTTTTTTTTAAACGAACTCTTTTCGAGCTAGCCCCACCAGGACTGTGGGTGTTTTCCAATATTAAATAAAGATTTAGTGTGTCTTGGTAATCGTAAGTCAAGTGCAGTATGCCAAAAATACCAGGATGTCTCACTATATGCAAGCCAGCATGCTTTTCTGGCCATCCTGACCCACAATCCTCTGCGCAGTCACATTCGTCACGGTGTCTCATGCGAGTATAAACAAGCCGGAGAGTGCACAGACGGCTCATTTTGCACAGTGAGGAATATACGAGGAAGGTGCAATATTGTGATGAAGTTGTATGTCCCAGTTGCTTTTTAGGAGCAGCTGTAGTAGATACTTGAAGTGAAAAGACAAAGTATGCGATTTGGAACGCAGCCTATATGTACATCATCACTGCAGCCATCTTCTCTTCATTGTAATGTTGGATTTAATGTCGTAATCGGTATTATTAACCTGATTATGATTCGATAACTTGATAGCAGGTCTGTGATAATGGACGAACATGGTCGCATCTTTAGTTTATTTATATATCCCAGCATGCAATAAAAGTAGCACCTAATGACGCTTAAGACTATAAAGCACAACAATAACAAATAAATGAAGTATTTAATAGTTGATAATTCCTATTTTCCTTAGAGTATGTATTAAAATATGTGTCAACAGGAATTCCACCTCTTTTCAAAACAGCTTCAGTAGCATCATTAATTTGAGAAGAATGTGGGAATTGTAATGACTGGCAATGGCACAGTATCTAATGTTTGAACACTTAAGTATAATGAAGCTACTAGAAGAGTAGTACCAGTAGAAATACTTGCTGTTACTCAGACAGACATGGAGACTGATTAGTGTTTAAGTTGTTACCTGCCAGACAACGTTTGGATGAGCACAGATTCTGGACTTTGACAAAATCCCAATCATCAGTCTTATTTATTCTCATTTTGGATCTCACCCTTGTCTTCTTTTCAAAACATCCCTTTGTTGTTACAGCTGTTCTTGGACATTTGGCCACAGACACCAAATACATCATAACTCAGAGAAATATCACAAGTTAGTTTTAAAGGATGTTCTTAAAATGACTAATTACTAATATTTAAAGAAGACGTGTTCATAATTCTGATACTTTTTTCAAATATTTTGCTGTCATCTCCCCAAACACCTGCAATGCAGACTGACAGACGATAGATTAGGTTACATTTCACTCCATCTGTATGCTAAGTGTTCCTTACAACGCAGAGTGATAGAGAAACACCAAAGAAACTTACAGTATTTTGAGCTGAATGAGAGTTTTGTTTGCTCAGCATTGGGCGTAAACCCATTTCAGAGGGCTGAGCATGCAGACTCAGGATGAGGCCCCCCTCTAGTCGCAGCAGCTCTTAATTCCGGTGCCTGGGTCGGCAGAGACCGGTGACCAGTGACCCTGAAGCAGTCGCCCCATCTCGTTGTGATTCTAACCAGCCAGCCATGAAGTGGGCCACCAGGCCGCTAGTCCCACCACCACCCGCCACCGAGCTTGGAAATAGAGGGGAGATGGATGGATGGAGGTTAGAGTACAAGGAGGAGAGAAGTGGAGGGACGATACTCTCAATATGTCCACAAACAGATTGGAAAAACACCAGTCAATAACCCTTCCTGGTTCCCTATATAATTTGCAAAAACTCAGCATCCCTGCAAAATGAAAATACGACAGGAAGTGAGCGTAGAGCTACTTTAAGTACTGCCTGGAGGCCTATTTATTTCTTTTAGGAGGTAAAGTGTGGAATGTGTAGCCTACTCAGAGTCTGTGCAACCTGATTAAGTCCCTCATTCCTAGAAAAGGAAGGTCAGAGGGCACCAGAGGGCATTGGGGGGGGAGAGAGGAAAGGGCGGAAGGTGAGAAACAAGGGGGTGGATTAGGGGTGGAGTTTACAACCACGCCAGCATGGGCATTGGAGCCCTGAATACCACTCCACTATGACCTGTTATGACAGGGATCAGGGCTTTATGCTGAGTGGCTTACTGCCACAATCCATAGTTTGAACTGATGGGGCGGACCCTGTTAATGTTGTTTTGGTAAGGTTGGGAGAAAGGGTTGATGGGAAACATAACTACTCTCAAACGTAGAGCTGTAGGAATATAGTTTAAGTTGTTTATGACTGTCCCATGTCAGAGGAGCTATCTCTGATATTCGTGGTATTTTGTAGTCAGGGACAGATGTTGTTACAGTATATTCATTTTGTTAATCACTGCATGAATGGGTGTATGTGTCCCTTCTTCCACAGGACTGTGAAATGGCCCAGTGTCCCAGCAGCCACCCTATTCCCCCGGGGACCAAAGTCCCTTCCCACCAGAGCCACAAAACCCAGTGGCGGTTTGGTTCCTGGACCCAGGTTGGTTGTCTTGTCACATTTCAGTCTGTCCATTTCTTTGGTTTTCAGTTTCTTAACCTCTTTCTCTTCTGCACAACAGTGCAGCGCCAGCTGTGGCAAAGGGACACGAATGCGCTATGTAAGTTGTCGTGACAACCAGGGTGGCGTGGCGGAGGAGTCGGCATGTGCCCACCTCCCAAAACCTCCGGCCAGGGAAGTCTGCTCAGTAGTGGCTTGCGGACAGTGGAAAGTGCTGGAATGGACAGTGGTAAGAAAACCAGCCGCCGTCATAATTTCTTCAGTTTTAACTGACCCAGCTGTCATACATTATCTCAAAATGTTGCACCAAACTTTTTTATGAGTCCACCCTGTGTTGTGGTGGAAAGTTTTGGAAAAGAATGTTCCTGCTGAATCAATAATAGCTCCCTTTTTGATCTGCATCATGTTGTACTGACGGACAGCTTTGTTGTCCTCATTGTTGCCACGCAGATGTTCAAGATTTATTTATTTCAGTGTACTCTGGATTCATTTTCACCTACACCAAAGTTGGTGCCTGCACGCACTATGTAGATGTTACTGTGAGCAAAGATGTGGAGACAAGGTGGCAGCTGGAATGCAAGTGTAGATGGAGTTCTGGTGGAGGAGGACTGTAGTGAGGCAAGAGAAAGAGTGTGTGTGTGTGTGTGTGTGTGTATCTGTGCATCTGAGAAAGAGAGAGAGAGAGAGGAATTGGGAGTGAAGCGCAAGTTTCTGGATCTGGGAGATGGAAGGGGCTGCAGTGAGGGGCTCCAGTCTTGTTTACAGATGTTTCTCATCAGAGTCCTGGTGATACAGTACAGTCAGACTGCAGGTCTGGTCACCATACACACACACAAACACACATCCATGCACACCCACACGTATACCACCAAGCCAAAGACACTCATTGACCCCCTGAAAGGAAACGGTTCATCCCAAGGCCGAAAAGATTTCAGAGGCCTATTCAAGCCACACATGGACACACAGCACTAGACTTATGACCTCAAAACAACACATTCTTCTCTATGTAGCAGCACGCTACAATATGACCTATTTTTGTAATTGTTCTCAGGGTGTGTGCAGGTTACAGTATGTTGTGCGACAGCTTTGTTTAGTGTTGCATTATTTATATCAGCTTCATTTACGTAATGCAAAACCCCTTTACAGTATCTATAATCATGTGAAACGTTGTGACAGAGCTGTTTAAACCTCTGGACAGTGTAATCCTAGGCTGGGTTGTGGAGGAGATGGCTGTTGCATAAGTATAATAGATCACTTCATGCACGGCAGAAAGTTGACTCTGCAGAGAAGGAGCTGTGAAAGACACCATAGTTGCTTTGTGGAAGATCTCCCTTGCGTTATTTTGGTCCTTCAAAGAGATACTGCATTGTCAGTCAATGCCAGAGTCTTCATGCCAAGTCACGCCTGTGGTAAGTCGGTGTTGGAGGACCTTTGCACATTGCCTTGTCGTTGTTTTTGGTTTTTTTTGGAATTTTGGTGCAGATTTTCCACTTGGATGGCATCAAGATTATGTTGTTATATAGTGATAGCTGTTGGTGACCTCTGGTTTGGCCTTCAGCAGAAAGACAGGTCACGAAATTGGTATTTTGTTGTACCTGGTGAAATGGTTTTGGTGTCTTGGGGTGTTGAGATCTGCAGTTGCAGCAGCTACAGTCAGTGGGACATTGTTCTAGACCAATGTAGGGAAAAGAGAGCTGAACCTGGAGTTGGAGCTCTTCATTTTCCACCTGCAAATGCTGAGAAGTGACAACAAAGACTGAAATTGGGGGTTGCATTTGATGGCTTGTGGATTTGTGTTTATTTACATTTACGGCCCTGAGTTACTTCTTCACCTGCTCCGTATGTTTGTGCTTTCAGTGCTCTGTAACCTGTGGCCAGGGAAAGACAACACGACAGGTCCTGTGTGTCAACTTCAGTGACCAAGAAGTGAATGCTAGTGAGTGTGACCCAGACGATCGTCCTGCCACAGAGCAGGACTGCGCCATGTCTCAATGCCCGTCCCGCCCCAGTGAATCCCGACCTTTGCCGTCCTCGCCGAACACCAGCACCAGGAACAACCTGCCCCGTAGCCAATCCCACCAGTGGCGGACTGGACCCTGGGGCGCGGTGAGGGATCTCACACACAAATACATGACATCACACTGTGCAACAAACAGTTTCTCTGGAGCTTGACATTGAAATGTTGTGTTTATCTTAGGCAATCAATCCTTCAGATGATATACAATAAAAGAACATTTTTGCACTAAAGTGAGGCAGAGTTGAACTGAGGCTGGGCTCAGGTGGATGTTTTTTATAGGCTGCTACCATTAGGAAGCTACTTGTCCACACCAGGTACTGTTTAGGAAAGTACACACAATTATTCTCATGTGAGAGTTATTTACTTTCATTTCTGTGTTGTAAAAGTGAAATAGCAAGCAGCTAGTAAGTTTTGTGAATGGAATAAACAAATATAGCGTGGTATTAAGTGGGTGTCAGAGGTCCTTGTTGGAAGATTTTATGATCTTTGGAAGGCAGGTTAGTTGTTTCCTCCTGTTTCCAGTCGTTGTGGCAAGCTAAGCTAACCATCTTCAGACTATCGCCTAATACTTACAAAACAGATATATATCGATCTTTAAAGTTGCCCTAACTAAATTTCTACTCCTAATTCCCAGTACTGTCTTCATTCCTTGTATTATAGGGATGTAAAGTATAATCACAAAGGTCATCTACAAAATCCAGTCATTTCCTAGAACAGTTTGTACCTAATACATACCTTGATAAAGTCCATTTTTCTGCATTTTGATTTGATACCACAGGACAACGTGGCTTAATGGCCAAAGACTGTCCTGCCCCATGGATCTCTTTCTATTTTCTGTATTGCTGCATTGTTTCTTTTTAATGGTTAAGTGATTACCAAAAATAACTTTGACCTTAAATAATTCTGGGAAGTGATTAAGCTATTTCTAGTGACTCTTCCTTCCTCTGTCCTGAGGATATGAACTTTAATATAGCAGCAGAAATGTTCAGTCATTTGACATGAGGCGCCCCCTCTTAGTATTGTCTGATTTTTTTTTGTCTGAGCTTGTTTTTGCACATGGTATATGTCTCAGAGTAGGTCCATTACAATGTGTACTACGTGCATTAAACCCAGTGCTACTTTTCAGCTGGATGTTTTATTTTGCTGTATTTGTTCATCATTGCATCTAAATGAAATGCGAATGAATAATCCCCCTCAGGAAGTCATTGACACCTATAGACTTGCTTATTACCATATTTTTGACAGTGTGCCCTCTCTTGTCTCTTCAACAACAGTGCTCCAGCACATGTGCAGGGGGCTTCCAGCGGCGTGTAGTAGTGTGCCAGGATGAGAACGGCTACCCCGCCAACAGCTGTGAGGATCGCAGCCGACCCAATGAGCAGCGATCCTGTGAGTCAGGGCCGTGTCCACAGTGGATCTATGGCAACTGGGGAGAGGTAAGACATCGTTGAACTTTACCAAAGCCCTTGAATCTCCTTGATCTAACTTAGAAACGAAACGTGCAATGGTCATTAGTGTTTAAATAATACCTTAGAAATCAGGATCACCTTCTTTATGCTTCACACGAAACAGATCTATTTTTACCTGAAATAAAAGGCCCCACTTTTTTTTTTTACATTTGAAAACCTTTTCCTCAACCTCTCCTCCTGCTTTCTTCAGTGCACTAAGCCATGCGGAGGTGGGATAAAGACAAGGCTGGTGGTGTGTCAGCGTCCAAATGGCGAGCGTTTCAACGATCTGAGCTGCGAGATCCATGACAAGCCACCAGATCGTGAGCAGTGCAATACTCAGCCGTGCCCTTCTAGCCCCCACTGGAGCACAGACCCATGGAGCTCGGTACGCTCATAAAAAATACACTATACCTTGTTCTTCAACCTCACATGTTTTCAAATACCTGTAGTCTTACTCTTTCAAAACCAGTCTTAAAGGAGCAGGATGAGTGTGGTGCTTGTGTCACTGGAGATAGTACACTCCAGCTTCCATACTTTTAACTTTAACCCCCTCCACTTCCTGCTCCCTCTCTGGTGCCTGAGATTGGTCAGCGTTTCCTCAAGACATTCGGAAAGCTAATTTCTGTTGCACTTGAATGGTAAAGATTCACTCACTTGCAAAATGCCAAAAAAAAGAAAAATCATCACAAATTACTTCCGTGACAGCTGTGACCATAAGAACATAAGGACATTTTTTTTTTTTTTTTTTTGTCAGTCCTAGTTACCATTAAACTGTTGTTGAGCCTTGTGTTAGTTTTTGAAAAATTCAGGATCACTTTGTATCACAATCAAAGTTAGTTTTGTAAAATATTGTTTTTAAAGATTATTTATTAAGATATTTTTTTTTCCTTTTTATCTCCTGTATATAGCATTAACTTTAAAAAGTGATTTATTTGTGTCTTAGCTCTTTGTATTCGCACATTTAGCCAATCATTGTTCATATGCAAATACTGATGAATGTTTTTGTATATCAGGAATATACAGTATGATGCCTTGTTCTTTTATTATCCAAAGAATGGCCCATAATCTCCAAATATGTGGTGCTACGTAATATAATCAATGTTCTGTTATGAACATATGAAGCACCAACTTACATAGGACTGTATCTGGTCTGTGTACTATATACAACTTTGTACTATATACATCTTTGAAATGGCTATTGTATCAAGAATTCAATTTGTCTCAAGGCACATGTGTTTTTTAGAGAAGTTACTAATCTTATTTAGACACTTTATTTTACAGTTGATATATTTACCCCCTGCTATGAAACCAACAGTGGCGTTGCCCCAAAATGACACTGACACTGAAGCAGACTTGTGTTAACTCAAAAGTGCCTGAAACGTCCAGTATCAGCAGTAAAGACCAAGAAACAGCAGCTGTACCAGCGCTGTAAAATAAAGTGTCTCACGGAGTTTGTGGTAGTTAGAACTAATAGCCATTGTATTCCAGTTTGGCGGAGAGTTTTGACCCAGATTTCCTTAGTGTGGCCAAAACAATAGTTTTAAAGCTCTCTGCTTCAAAGGTGCTTGACATGAGTGTATTTATATTGTGTTAGTCAATGTTTGCTTTGTACAGTAAGTACTTGGAGTTGCTAAATATGCTATGCTATGCTCAACAATACCTCACTTGGAACAAAACACAACTCGACTAGCCATTAAACAATGATAACCTACACTACAGTGGTGCTTTGGCCAAACAAGGGAGATATAAGATATGAATATCAAACATGAACCATCACATTTTTGGTTGGTTAGGTGTTTATTGTGGCACATTGCTTCTTGATGCTGCCTCTTCTGTACTTTTTATTTCTTTCCATGAGCAGTTTGTGCGCTGATCAGATTGATCAGCAAAATGCAAAGTGTATCACAGATTTGATGAAATAATGTTGAATTGTCTTTGATTGTCCATCAAATAACTTGCTTAACCTTTAAGAGAATGGGCTGTTAAATGTCGTACTTTCAACATGTGATACCTGTGACCACAGGGGAAGTTAATGGTGTTTTGTATCCAGAGCTCTTACTCTGAGCCAACCTAATGTGTCTACCTCAGTCTCTGTTATGATTGCCCCCCTGCCGTATCTTTCTCTCCCTTGCACTGGAGGGATTTTGGCTGGCTAAGATTAAGCATGAGTTGTTGAGGCTACCCAGTGCAGTTGATGGCCCTAAACACAGATCTGACGTGTGTGTCATCTCCCACCATGTAATGCTTACCATTCCCATGATTACAGTGAAAACTGATCCAGAATCTGTGGTTAGGGGCAACTTTGCCTGCAGCCCACCCAGTTGACTCCTCCTGGTCATAAATGTCTGTACTGACATCACACCTTATTTTAAGGGCCTGTTAACACAGCAGTGAGTACATTTTTTACCACACATCATTTACTAATGAGCACTATTGCTTGTAATGACTCCCATGTGTGATTGTAAGGCAGCGTAAACTCAAATCTAGGTTGAATCAGTGAAAGTAGAACACAGTGTTAACACACCATAGCGAATCCTCCTAGTATTCCCTTTTAGTTTCATTTTTCAGTCTTAGCAGTTTGACTCCTTGTGGTCAACCTCTTGGTGCAAATAGCAGTATAGCACAAACACTATATCAACAGGCTCTTGAAATAAGTATAATGTATGTCTCTTATTCACAAATGGCAGTATTAGTCTATGTTTCAAGAATATTTCTGTATATTTATGTAATTACTTGTATTTATTGTTCATTCATTATAATGTTATGTCAATATTTAATTTTTTATGGATTTTGTTGGATTTCTGTTCATTTGCAGAAAAGGTTACGATTAAAGTGAAGTAGAGGTACTATCAAAGGCTTTTTTTCATTCTTACTTGAACAAAACATTTTTTGGTCACATACAGTGACCAGGCCAAGGTCACAGTAAATTAGGGGGAAAGGGAAAAAAAAATCTTGCCGGTAACTTCCACTTCTGGACTGGTTGTTTTATAAAAAGGCATAAACTGAGATAACTGATCCAAGTACCAGCCTTTAACAACATTCATTTAGACTAATAGCCTCGCTGCTTGCAACATTGTACTCCTGCTGCTAAGCCCTGTATTGAAATGGTTAACTCCACATCACCGACTCAAGCTTTATGGTAATTACAGTGTGTTTGTGGATAAGGAAGTGGCCTATATTATTTAGTACTTTACCTATGGCTAAAAGATTTTAAAAGAGGCCTGGCAAATAGCTTATAAAGCTTGTCCCTCCCTGCCAGTCAGTTCAAGGGGGTGTTTTTCCCTGAATGAAAACACACAAATCAGCGAGCAATATCCTTGTTATTTTATGCAGTCAGGGCCTCTGCTGACCTCTGTCAGCGACCATGTTTTTACCATCTGTGTCAGGAGTTCAAAGCTGTTTCCATCAAGGTAAATCTCTGCGCTGCGTATAGAGCCTCGGTACACTTCCCATTTCATGTATTGTGCTCATTCACTCTTCATGCATACCCAGGCTTTTTTTTGGGATGCTTGGTGACGCGTGCTCAGCTATGAAGTTGCTAGCGCCCCTTTGCCCCTTTCTGTCAGGCCCCTCTGCTGTGGTCTAATGCGGGTTGATGACAGTGTACCATTGTTGGGGCCACTGACAGTGACTCGAATAAGGGCAGGCGTCAGCAAGACAATGCAGTGGTGCACTGACGGGTCAGAGGTCACGTTTGATCTGGGGAGGGGCCCCTTCCCGGTTCAACCCATCAGCACAGGCCGACTTCTGGGAAATTGCCTGTGATCCAGGGTTAAAAAAAAACAATAAAAAAGGTGTCCAATAGAGTTCCAAAACACTGTGCTGACAATGGAGACTGGGGGTCATTTCCCCATAGTGCAGACCAAAGCTTTGCTGCTGTGGATTAGTGTCTGAAACTCCGAGGATGAGTTCATAAGTCAGTTCAAATAGGTCGGATTGATTATTAGCACTGTCAAATGTGCATTGATATAAAATAATGCTTTCAATTTTATTTCTATAGTGCCTATTCCTAACATATGTTATCTGATAGAACTTCACATAAAAGGTGCTTCCGCTCTCTTATCTCATGAAGTAGAAAATGTTAAGGACACGAGTGTGTAAGTAGTGTTTGTGTTTGTGCACTGGATAATTACAGAAGTCAAGAGACCTTGTGGGCAAAGTTAATGAACCCTGCGTCGGAATGGGGGTGGGAGGTTGCGGACTGATAAAACGCTTGGTGTTTAAATTTGACCTATTTCTACCAATTCTCACGGTATTCTGTCAGCACGGTGCAGCAGCAGTAAAGCCTGTGTAAAAATGTGCTAAAGAATGACCTGAGGTTTGAACTGAACAACAGCGAAGAAGAATGTCTTGATCTTTAAATGCCTTTCTTTAATGACTTTAACCTTTTACTAGAAGGTCCAATTCCCCCCAGTGATTACCCACTAACTCTCCACAGTTTTATCTAAAACAAGTGTGTGTGTGTATATATAGTGTTCATGTCAGCCGGTAGCATGAAATATACTATCTCTGTTGATGTAGTTAGTGGTTCATGTTTTGACACAGATAATTCTCATGACGGAAATGTTATTCTGCTACTCATCGTGGGTGCTATCTTAAAAACGACACACAAGCAACACAGTCAATGTCATTTTTATTAAAATGTAAACACAATATCCTCAAAGCAATCACACGATGCCGCTCACGACTCATTTTCTTTGTCTTGTCTTTGAATCTTTTTTGTCCCATTGATCGAACCGATGACCTCCTGACAGCACAGTTCCAATAAATCTAAAGCGCTGCATGTGAAATTGGGATGTGAGAGTCGCCTGTATTTATAAAGGGGATTTTAAGTCCCTTTCGCGAGCCCTCCTACCTTTCGTCCTCCCAGAATGAGGTGAGAGGTCACAGCATGTTCCTGTCCAGTACAGTCCCTTGCTGATCAGGACAGAACCACACGCTGGGCCACGTACTCGTTCAACTCTGAGCCTGTCGCTTCCCATCCATCCCCGTATGCAACGCCCCCTTTGATTATCCGAGCACAGTCCGGCCCTGCTCCACTCCCTCCTGTTACGCTGCTGTGTGTGTGTCTGCCTGTCACACTGAGTTAGACTTTCAGTAACTCGGTGAACCCGGAGGTGAAACAAACTGCTGCCGGGGTGAGCGGGCACGCTTTGCTATTGGTCAGGCTGCCAACACGTAACTGGGTCTCATACGGTTTTGGTTGTTTTTGGGGGGTTTTTTGAAACAGAAAAACAGATCCACCAGTTCATTAATTGTTTAAACATGCCTCAAGCTACATTCCCTTTTTTTTTATTGTCGTGCACATTCGGTTTTCATTAAACTTGATATTCAACATATTAAACATCATTCTGCACCCCACCCAAGCACATCACTTTTTTTTTTTCACAGTTTTGGAGCATCACAAATCTAAACTTTTTATTTCTATTTACCTCCTTCTCTCCATCCTGCAGTGCTCAGCCTCCTGTGGAAGAGGTGTGAAGTCCCGGAAGGTGAGCTGTGTGACCAAGTCAGGCCGTCCCGTCCCGGAAGAAAACTGCCAGCACCTTTCCCCCAGACCCAGCAAGCAGAGGCGCTGCCGAGGCGGACGATGCCCAAAGTGGAAGACTGGCAACTGGGGAGAGGTAGGACTTTCTGACCCCACCATAAAACACTCCTCTACTTTCTGTTCTCACGCTGCCAGACATGTCAGGGTTTTTTTTTTTCCTCTCTCTCTCTCTCTCTTACCACTTTAATGCTTACCAGCTTGCTGGCAACTATGTCCATATGTGTGAAACATGTGCAGCTGAACCTGACTGTATTTATGCAGCATGCTGAGCCACTAACTAAGGCAGGGTGTCTTTACACATCACATGATGGTGTGCCGGGGTGCAGCAGACAGACAGTTTGACATTTTGAATGCTGGAATACAGTGGGTTGGACAGCAGGAGGGATGTTCACCCTGCTTTTTGATCTGAAGTCCAGCCAGTGTAAATCTCCCCCTCTCATCTCTGTATTTTCTCTTCCTCTGCCCCTCACCTTCCTCTCCTCTCTGTCCCTTTTATCCTCTTTCCCTGCTGCCTTCCCCCAAAGATCACTTTTTCTTCCAGGCCCTCTTTCCCACCTCTCTCTCTCTCTCTATCTCCTGCCTCCCCCGATGGGAACCACATGTTGGTCTTTTCTTTGAATGCCCTACTAGAGGCATTTCACTCGCGTCATCCTGCCAGACAAAGTCATTAAGTGCACCTGGGCTGCTGCAGAACCCGCCATGTGCTTGTTCCCCATTTTCTTTCCCTCCCTTTATTCTCTACGTCTCTTTTTTATTTCTCTCTCTCTCTTCTCCTGTCCTCTTTCTCTGGATTCATCACACCGGTCTGAGACACATCTGTGCTCCATACGTCAGAGAGGATGTGTGTCTGATCGAAACAGCTGTGGAGCAGGATGCGTGCCAGGAGAAAATGATACTGCACACGAGGCTCTTAGTCAAGTACAGCCCAGTGCATCAGGGTCCGACTGCTTCACTTTGTGAATGACCATGTGAATACGTGTGGAACAGACAGTGTGCTTTTATACATTTGTGTAAAAATCTGAAACTGCAAAACACAAATATAGTACTTCTCACTCTTTGTCACAGTGTTATAAAGTAAATATGTCATTCAACAGAGTTACATTAACATCAGAGCAGTGCAGGTTGTTCAGAAGTAACAGCATCTGTTCGAAAGGAAACAAGTCAGACATTAGTTAGTGTAAAAATCACATCAAAAGCCTAAATATGAACCTGAAAAAGATTAAAAGATGAATAAATAAATAAATAAAAGTCGGTTGCTTCATAGAATTGTTTCAGCCAAACTCTCTCCATCTTTTTGTTCTCTGCAGAAATGTGTTTTGCATTACTGCATAAAAGTCCGGCTTTCATCTCACGCGTGTTTGCTGTTGATTGCACACAGATTGACTAAACAGACCACTTTCACGAACCAAACTTTCATTTCTGCAACAACGCAGTCAGCATGAGTCATATCGCTTCAACGTGGACACGGAGGCTTTATTATCTTAACATCCCATGTTTCCTCAGTTGTGCTCAATATGCACTGTATAGGAGTCATCTACATTGCTACAAAAAAAAACTGATGATACGCCAATAGACCCAAGAGACCTCACACTTGAGTTAATACTGAAACGCAAAGAGGGAAAAAGCACATCTCCAGGCATGTTGTTCAGAATTGTTGAGACAAATGTGGGTTTCATCAATTACAAAATCACATAAAGTCTAAGGACATAAGTGACATCTACACACAACTTAATGCCCCGTATTATTTATAATAGAAAAACATATATTTATTGTTTTTTTCAGTAATTCCCTTGAATACATGGTATATATGTCAGTTCAGACTATCTAATAAAAGTAATACACCATTAAACTCATGCATATGTCACTATAGGTAGTGAATATGATGACCAGTTGATGCACAACTATAAACTAATACAGTAACAAAAAACTAATTCTACTTTAGTCAAAGCTCTTACTTGCTCTGCTTTCAGTGTTCAGCATCATGCGGCGACGGCATCCAGCGCCGGGAGGTCTTCTGTCAGGTCGGAGACCGGCGGAGCGCGCTGGAGAGCGGCTGTCCCCAGCGCTCCCGCCCGGCGTCCAGCCAGAGCTGCCGGGTGGCTGACTGTCCCTCTCGGTACCGGTGGAGAGAAGGCGACTGGCAGACGGTAAGAACGACAAACACCGTGTGCCGAAACAAGTAGTTTTGCCGCTCTGCCTCACCCCGGCAGGATGAAATGTGCTCTGTCATTTGTGGTGAAGTATGAGAGTCGCTGCTGCGCTGCCGCCTGTCAGGAGGCCAGAGGGGAGGAGAGGAGGCGAGCTGCTTCATGCCCTGATGAGAATCAGATGATCCTTTCTCCCTCTCTCTCTCTCTCTCTCTCTCTCCCTCTCTCTCTCCCCTCACAAAGCAGAAGGCTAGTTCCTGTCATTTACAAGTGGATCGTTCCTGTGCTTTTTCAGACGTAGCTGGAAAGCAGGAAACTTCACTGCTGTGGTTATAATAGAACATGTATGCAGGTTGCAAAGAGTACGAGAAACTACATAAAAGACCCTCCGTTTCATGTTATGGGTGATTTAGCCCGAAGTAAATTTACAATTTTCTACCTGTATTTGAAAACGTTTTAGTTATTTCTTATGAGATTTGTAGTGATGCACCATATAAAAATTTCTGGCCGATGCTGATATCTGATATTAAGATTTCTGATCTTGCCGATAACCGATATTATCGATCTCGATATTTAATTTTTGTTCACACCGAAAAATGAGTGTAAGTACTGTGAGAACGGGAAAGTATTCAAAAGAAGCCCATACCAAGTTAGACCACATAGTCTTCTTTATTATATAGCAAAAGCAAAACATATTTAGATATGTTTTAACATATTTAGCGTTCAAGTCCAGGACCATTTCAGTAAACACATCTTTGAAATAGCAGCAATATCAAATGTAGAGACAAAGGTGCTAATATGAGACAATCATCGTTTTTTCACATCGGCTAAATCTGTTCATCGGACCGATATCGATATATAGGAAAAAACACTAATATCAGCTGATACCAATGTGGTCGTCAATATATCGTGCATCCATAAAGATTTGTCATTTTCCCTCCAAATCCTTCTCTAGTCAGTTCTTTGAAGGAGGCGGGTCTCAGTTAGAAATGGGTGGAGTCACATCCTCTTTTCACCTATTCCTTGTTCAAATGAAATTGTTGAGACTTGTTGGTTTTTTTGCTCATGTTGCTACCCCACCAGCCTCAGGTGCAAGCTGCTGTAGTCATTAGCTGTGTTGCAGCTTGGTAAATGAGACGCTCTGGCCT